TCATGAGATGAGACCCTAAGAAGGGGATATCAGTGGCACAGTCCTGGCAGGCAGAGTTCTGCAGAATTTCTTCTCTCCGTCTCTTTCTTGGTGAAAACATTTTTTAAAAAAAATTATCTTCAATCTTATTTTTTAAAATCCAGTCATTATCTCTCTCCCAGTCCATTCTTGTCTTCTGACAGTTCCTCATCCCATTCCTCCTCTTCAGTCGCCAAGAGGATGCCCCCACCCTCCCCTATCCCCCACCCTGCCAGACTTCCCACTCCCCGGGGGCCTCAAGTCTCTTTTTTTTTTTTCTTTTTGGTTTTTCGAGACAGGGTTTCTCTGTGTAGCCCTGGCTGTCCTGGAACTCACTCCGTAGACCAGGCTAGCTTCGAACTCTCGAACTCAGAAATCCACCTGCCTCTGCCTCCCAAGTGCTGGGATTAAAGGCGTGCGCCACCACCACCCGGTGGCCTCAAGTCTCTTGAGGGTTAGATGTGTCTTTTCTCACTGAGGCCAGACCAGGTAATCCTCTGCTGTGTCAGGGACCTCGTACCGGCTAGTGTATACTGCCTGGTTGCTGGCTCAGTGTCTGAGTTCCTTCTCTTAGGGGAGTGTTTATGACAGTATATATATCGTCTTTCTGGGTGTGTCTCTCTTCTCTGACTATCCAACCCCTCACCTGGTTAGAAGTGTCAGGGCTTTTCTTCTAGTGGAGATCTCTAATCCTAGCTGGAATCATTATGTTCTTGGGATGGAAACTCTGTGTCCCATGGTATAGCTGGTTAGTTAGAGCATGTAGGTGCAGCAGTGATGGAAGGTTCAGTTACTGAGATCCTCCCTAATGTAGGTGGAGTACTTCTTTCTTCCCTGAGTGTTCTATGTGCAGGTTGTGCTACGCAGGTCCACTCCATGTGCCCTTCTGGTGCAAGCCTTGTCTTCAGGTTTGGCCCATTCAGCTATTGAGGCCCTAGGGCTTAGCTTGGGAGAGAGAGAGAGAGAGAGAGAGAGAGAGAGAGAGAGAGAGAGAGAGAGAGAGAGAGAGAGAGAGAGAAGCTGTTGCTGCAGAGCAGCAATTGCCCTGCCTCTCAACTGTGGGGAAGAAAGGCCTAGTTCCCTGAGGACAGAGGGGAGAGAATGCTCTTCTGGCGGTCACTGTTGCTAGAACTCTCTGCTTTTGGAAATCCTCTGGATCTGCTCAGCCCCTGTGGTAGTAGGCACATGTATTTTTGCTGCACATATTTTCTTTTGTGTGTGTGTGATATTGAATTGCAGAAGGGGCATTCTGTTATCGCATTTGGCCAGAATCGTGCTCTATCTCTGAGTACTTTCTTTTTTTGACTTAGACTATTCTCACTACCTCAGTCCTCTGTTCTCCATGCAGCCCTCTGTCTTAGGGGTTCTCCACTCCAACCTTGCCTTTTCCCATCACAAAGGATAACACGCTCATCTCTATTGGGCCATAGGACTGGAGCTAGCAGGCCTGAATTCTAGGGTTCTAACATTTCCCTATTCTAGGCTCTGTGTACCTTCCTTTCCCTGTATGTGGGTAGCAGCCAGTGCTGTCCTCTGGGATGCTACCGTAGAGATTTTGCTGTCTAAATGTGGCAGTGGCTGTTAGGCACCTGTAATGTGTCTAATGGCATTACATTTTTAACTTTAAGCCAGGCATGGCAGAACACCTCTTAACTCTCAGAACTGGGAAGGTGGAGGCATGAGGATCAAAATGTTCAAGGTCATTCTCAGCTACAAAGCTGAGATCAGCTTGAACAATATGAATCCCTGTCTCAAAAAGCTAAAGACCAAAGCAAAAGACCCCACAGGGCTGGAGTGATGGCTTGGTGGTTAAGAGTACTATTCTTTCAGAGGACCCAAGTTTTGAACCTATGTTGGGTCTCTTAACAACCACCTGTAATTCCAGTTCCAGGGGAATTCAACCTCCTGATCTCATAGGCACTTGCAGTCAGGTACACATATGCACATATATACAAACACATACAATTAAAAACAAAAGTAGTTTAAGTGCTTATTTATGTATACACATGTTTGCTTGTGTGAGTGTGCGCCACATATGTGGAGGTATACATGGAAGTCAGAGGGCATGGGATTCCCTGGAGCTGGAATTATACATGGTCGTGAGTCACCTGACTTGGCTGCTGGGAGCTAAATTCAGGTTCTTGGGAAGAGCAGCAAGCATTCTTCACCACTGAGTCATTTCTCATCTTTTTTCCCCTTTGTGTGTGTGTGTAAGAGAGAGAGAGAGAGAGAGAGAGAGAGAACAGTAATTTAATTACCTGCCTTAAATTATTTTAAATTATTTTATTTTTGGCTTTTGGAGACCGGTTCTCTGTAGCCCAGGCTGGCACTGAACTTGTGCTATAGCTCAGGCCAGCCTTAAACTCTTGATCTCCTGGCTTTCCCACTTGAGTGCTGAGATTATAGGTGTGTACCACCATGCTGGGCTAATCCATTTAAATTTAAATAGCGTGGCTACTAAGTTAGCAGTTCACTTGTGACTCTTTTCAAGCCCCAAAGGCTTGTGATGAGTGACTGAATTGTGAAGAATTCTCCCAACCCCCAAAGACCTTTTTGATTTACCTGGAGGCTTGATTTAACCTGTATGGGAGGAGTGGGAGGAACATCTGGACTGGCTACAGGCTCCATTAGTGGAGGACAGACCAAGAGCTGTCGCCCAGATATAGAAAACAAAGCTTGTTGCCACCATGGCCTCCACTCTCTCATCTGCATCCCATGGCTTTCGGGACTATGTATGTTGAGAAGGGAGTCCTTCTTGGCTAGTAACAGAGTATCCAAGACCCACTTGGGTAGGACCAACTTGTAGCACGAATCTGGTGGTTCCTGTTTGCAGTGGTTGAGAGCTTTCAAAATGACTTCTCTCAGTAACCTACTGAGTGAAGCATATAGGAGTCCAGATTGGTCCTCAGTGCTTTTGGCATCTAAGGACCCTTATCTTAGGGCTCAATTGAGAGAAGGGAAACTGGGAAGTCCTAGCCCCTCTGGCACTTGGGAGCCTGGTCTAGAGGCATTGCGTTGACTAGGTTTTAGGCGTGACCCTATGCATGTCTGGAGCTGTTGCAGACTGCAGTGACTCACCGTGGAAGGAGGCAGGGTGGGGCCACCATGTGGGTGAGAGTGAGCTGGCTCTCTTTCTCCTCTGCTGGCTCAGCACCAGGATGTTTGGCTGAGCAAGGGGCCCTGCACAAGGAGGAAGCCGGGTACTAGGAAACTTGAAGGGGTAGCTTCAGTTCTTAGGTGTTTGAGCTTGAGACATTTACTTTCGTCTTTCTGCTGGGATTCTGACTTCTAGTCTGGCTTCTCAGTATTGGTCCGGGAGAGGGCAGACCAGACAGTGCCAGTTTCAAGTTGTGAAGAGTCAGTGTGGCTTTCCTCTTAAAAAAGCTTCTTCTGCCTGCTGGGAAGAGAGGGGGTGTTTCCCTAGCTCAAACCTGCACCAGCAGGCTTCTCTCTTGTCTTCCCTTCCCCTCTAGCCAGCGCTTGTGCTGTTAAGTAGGCCCACGGTAAACATTGTGTTTATGAGTTTGCCAAGTTTGAGAACAGGTGTGGTGATCTAGGTTGTTGGTTGTTTTTGTTTGTTTTGTGTGTGTTTATCTTTTGTTGGTTTCTGCCTGAGACTGGGCCACCATCCCATTCTAGAGGCTAGCTAGCTCCAGCACCTTGGAAGCCTGGTTTATATTTCATTCCCTGAGGTGCCTCTTAAGACTTCTGGAACTCTGTGGAGCCCAGTTGGTCACCCCCAGAGTCCCTTGTTTATCATTTGTACAGAGGTAGGACTCTAAGTCTTTTAAATTTCCATATCTGGCACAGGGAGTGCATTTAATAAATGTCTCGAGGATGCAGACGTGTTGGGAGGTAACAATCTAATGCAGTGTACAATTAAGTGCTGGGCTGGGTTGTGTTTGTCCCTGGCTGATTTCCTTTGCAACATCTAGTATAGACTCGGACATACAGGAGGTGATCAGTATACATGTATTTATGATTGTTGACTAATTTCTGGCTGTAAACAGTTTTAGGGTGGGGCTTTGGGTGAGGCTCACCACAATTTATAGAGTCCTTCACACAGTTTCACAGGTATGCTTTTAGATGACTGCCAGTGGTATTTCGTGTGGGTGGCTGTAACCCATTGCCATACCCACCGTCCTGCTGAGTGCTTTCCCAGGGTACCTCTGCAGCTGATAGCTCATCCTGTGGCAAGGAGGGATGCCTTCGCCTATGGTGTCTATCTTAGGGTCCAGTGTGGGCAGCCACAATGCATTGACTAACTAGGGGCCCAAGCTGAGCTTTTGGCTTTGGGAGTCTGGTGGGGATGGGATTGTCTTTGTTTAGGCCACCAGCAGGAGCATGGCTTATTGAACTTCCAGTGGGTAAGGGTTCCTTTTGATCCTGGGGGCCAGGCTATAGATAGTAAGCTGAGTCACTGTCACTGTGGTGGACACCACTCTCTGTGCTTAGAGAACAGTCTCACATTCGTGAAGAGGTATAGACTAAATGTAGCATAGCGGAAAGACCCACAGAAACATCTACATCGATCGTCAACCTCTTTGTGTGCACTCCAGGCAAGTGGGCCTTTCAGTGTCTCAGTCTCTGTTAGTGACTGTGGGACCAGTTATTCGAGAGACTGATGAACATGGGTGTTGTGTGGAACCTTCTAGGGCCAGCTGCTGTCTTAGTTCCTTCAGTCTGCACGGAACTCTTACTATTTCCATGTTCACAGACAAAGAAACATAGGTTCAAAGAAGTTACAGTTCCTTGGCAAGAGTCCTGGAGCTGGGAGGATGCAGCCATTGTTAGAAACCTAGTCCACTTTCCTTTAACCTCATTTTCTGTAGCAATGGGCTTCAGAGTCCTGTAGTTACTGACTGTAGTGGGGACCGGAATTTTGGCCAGCCCTGGGGTTCAGTATTCATCTGTCATTTGGGTGGTAGCTCACTGAGGTTTTGAGAGGCTGAGGGTGAATATCATGGTGAAATTTTTCCTAGGTTGTGTGACCAAGATTCCCAAAGACAGAGCGACTGATACAGAAAGAGAAGAAGGAGGGGCGGGCTCCTGGCAAGGCGTTTGCTCCTGAACCGAGTCCTGCAAAGGTTAGTAGGTGGGATGGTGCAAAGGTACAGAGGATAGGATGGGGCATGCTAGACACATGGTGCAGCGTTTGGACCTGTGCCATGGGTGGATCAAAGGGCGGGTTTCCCCTTTTCTGTCTTCTTTATTGTGTATCATGAGAACTTCCACAGTGGAAAAACATGGAACAGATCATCTGTCCCCCAGGGACCCCCAGGTGAGCCGGGCTGAGGGAGCAGGTGCATGGAGCTTGGGCTCTAGCCCATGGCTGTGCACAGCACTGAAGATCTGTGGCTCTCATGCCTTTCCACCCTCCATGTCCCCGTGACCAGAGCTCTGTTTTTTTCACCTCATCCCAGATGGAGAAGGAGGAAGAGACAACCCGGGAGCTGCTGCTGCCTAACTGGCAGGGCAGTGGCTCCCATGGGCTGACCATTGCCCAGAGGGATGATGGAGTCTTTGTACAGGAGGTGATGCAGAACTCCCCTGCGGCCCGCACTGGGGTGGTCAAGGAGGGTGAGTCTCCCTAGGATAATGACTGGGCACTGAGGGGTGAGAGGGGGAAGAGTGGGAGGTAGGGGGGCAGGCAAAAATGACCAAATGACTGGAAGGCCTGGGTCCAACAACATAAGGAAGGTCAGTACCCAAGCCCTGTCCCTTGCTGCTCTGTGCCTTGCTTGTGAATCTCAGGGGAGGTAGTCATGTGGAGTTTTGGAGACAGATCTTATCTTCAGATCTGATTCTGTGCTCCTCACCAATTCTGCAGCTATGTGTAAAATAGTTGGTCTTTCCATTCAGTTTCCTCATCTGTACTTGAGTGGGCAATACTGTGTCTGCATGGTATTCATGAAGCTAAAGGAAAGTCAGTTTTAGTGACTGTTATGTGGTACTTTCTTGAGACCTGTGGGTCTTTACTTGATTGTTGTACTCCCTTACTTAGGGGACCAGATTGTGGGTGCCACCATCTACTTTGACAACCTACAGTCTGGTGAGGTGACCCAGTTGCTGAATACCATGGGGCATCACACTGTTGGGTTGAAGTTGCACCGTAAAGGGGACCGTTCCCCTGAGCCTGGACAGACCTGGACCCATGAAGTCTTCAGTTCCCGTAGCTCTGAGGTGGTTCTGGTGAGTACCTAGTGACCCACCTTTGTTCAGAGCTCCCCCATGATCCTGATGGCTTTTTGGCCTCACTTCCTGAGCCTTCCTTCTTTCACCTTCTACATTCTCTTGTGACTTCTCTCCGTTGATTTCTTCCTGTTTATATGTGGCATGTGGCTGATTTTGTTCCTACAATTATAGTATTCCTTCAATTTCTTAAGACTATGCCGTGGTGTGAGAAACAATTCAAGCAGTGAGGGCTTAGGTGCCAAGAGGAAGGTTAGCTGCTGTACTCTGAAATGACTTCACTGGTGTTCAACCTGCCTCTCTACATTCCATGAGTGAGCTGATGAACAGCACAATGCTTGCGGGAAGGGCTTCTTTACTCCTAATGGCTTGCTTATTGAATAAACCATGTGTACTCAAAGTGAAAGTATTACCCAATCACAGCCAAGCCATTAGGTTTAACAAATGCTTTCCAGTGTGCAAAGGCTCCTGAGAGGCTCCTTAAACAAGCCAGTGAGCTGAGAATTGAAAGATAAAGGGCCTGATTGGGATGGGTCCCTGGAACAGGTTTCTTTGAACTATCACTGGGTGGTAGGGCCTCTTCCTGGGCAACATAGTCAAGGAATCTACCTATTTCCTAACCTTGCCGTGACTTTTGCTTATAAGAATTTTCTCCCAAATAATTTCTGTTTTCCTCTTATGATATGACTGTTAACCCCTTTCTTCAGTGCCCTGTGTTCTGCCCTAGGAGGCTCTCTAGACCTCCGTTATGGTCTGAACACCTTTGGGAAACAGGCAACTCTGTTGTCGACTGGGCTGCAGCCCAGCATCTGCCGATTCAGGCAGACTTTGCTGCAACCTCTGCCGGGCGTGTCTTTCTGCAGAGCGGGGATGATGAGGACTACCAGCGCATCTACACCACAAAGATCAAGCCACGCCTGAGGTCGGAGGATGGAGTAGAAGGGGACCTTGGGGAGACCCAAAGCCGTACCATCACAGTGACCAGAAGGGTTACAGCCTACACTGTGGATGTGACCGGTCGGGAAGGAGTAAAGGACATTGACATCAGCAGCCCTGAGTTCATGATCAAGATACCAAGGCATGAAGTGACTGAAATCTCCAACACAGACGTGGAAACCCAGCCCGGGAAAACAGTGATCCGACTGCCCTCCTCTCCAACCACAGGCTCTGCTGTGGATATTCAGGCAGGTGCCATTTCTGCGTCAGGACCAGAGCTTGAAGGTGCTGGCCACTCAAAATTCCAGGTCACTGTGCCTGGGGCAAAGGTGGGAAGCCTAGATGTCAATGTCAAAGCAAAAGGCTTGGACTTGGGTGGCAAAGGAGGGATCCAAGCTCCAGGAGTGGACGTTTCGTCTTCTCTTGGGGCTGGCTCTGTAGAGGTTCAGGGCCCATCCCTCCAGAGTGGTGATATTGGGAAAATTAAAATTCCTACCATGAAGATGCCAAAATTTGGTGTCTCAGCAGGCCTGGAGGGTCAGATACCAGAGGTAGGGCTAAATGTTTCTGCACCTGAATTCTCTGTGGGACACAAGGGTGACAAGCCAAGCTTGGCTATTGGGGAAAACACCCAGGCTCCTCATCTGGAAGTAAGTACCTCCTCTGTCAATATCGAGGGGCTTGAGGGGAAGCTGAAGGGTCCCCAAATCACTGGGCCATCACTTGAGGGTGACTTAGGCCTGAAAGGTACCAAGCTGCAAGGGAACATAGGAATGGATGCCTGTGCTTCCAAAATTGAGGGCAGCATCACTGGTCCCAGTGTAGAAGTTGGAAGCCCTGATGTTGAAGTTCATGGGCTAGGGGGCAAACTGAATGTGCCCAAGATGAAAGTCCCTAAATTCTCTGCATCAGGTTCAAAGGGAGAGGGAGTTGGCCTTGATGTGGCACTGCCCACAGGTGAAGTGACCCTTCCTGGGATCTCTGGGGATGTCAATCTGCCTGAGATTGCTACTGGTGGGCTTGAAGGGAAAATGAAGGGTACTAAAGTCAAGACTCCTGAAATGATTATCCAGAAACCTAAAATCTCCATGCAGGATGTGGATCTGAGCCTTGGGTCCTGTAAACTAAAAGGAAATATGAAGGTATCTACTCCCGAGGTGAAAGGTGATGTTAAAGGCCCTCAGGTGGCAGTTAAAGGCTCCAGAGTGGACATAGAGACACCAGACTTAGAGGGTACCTTGACAGGTCCCAAGCTCAGCAGCCCTTCTGGAAAAATAGGGACCTGTAGGATTTCCATGGCAGATGTAGACTTAAATGTAGCTACACCTAAAGGGAAAGGGGGTGTAGATGTCATTCTCCCCAAAGTAGAAGGGAAAGCTAAAGGTCCTGAAGTTGATGTCAAAGGTCCCAAAATGGACATCCGTGCCCCAGATGTGGAAGTTCATGGTCCAGAATGGAACTTGAAGATGCCCAAGTTCAGCATCCCAGGAGTCAGAGGAGAAGGCCCAGATGTAAATGTTACTCTGCCCAAAGGAGATATCAGTATTTCAGGGCCTAAGGTCAATGTAGAAGCTCCAAATGTCAACATGGAGGGTCTGGGTGGCAAACTTAAAGGCCCTGACATTAATCTTCCTGAAGTAAGTGTCAAGACTCCAAAGATTTCTATGCCTGATGTGGATCTGCATGTCAAAGGGCCAAAGGTGAAGGGAGAGTATGATGTAACAACACCAAAGCTTGAGGGAGAACTGAAAGGCCCCAAAGTGGACATTGACACCCCACAAGTGGATGTTCATGGCCCAGACCTGAAGATTCCCAAGATGAAAATGCCCAAATTCAGTGTGCCAGGGTTCAAAGCAGAATGCCCAGAAGTGGATGTGAACCTGCCCAAGGCTGACATCGGCATTTCTGGGCCTAAGGTGGAGGTCAGTGCTCCAGATATAAGCACTGAAGGACCAGAAGGGAAGTTGAAAGGGCATAAGTTTAAAATGCCTGAAATGAATATCAGAGCTCCAAAGATTTCCATGCCAGATGTGGACTTACACTTAAAAGGCCCCAGTGTAAAGGGAGAATATGATGTCACAGTACCAAGGGCAGAAGGTGAGATTAAAGTTCCTGATGTTGAACTTAAAAGTGCTAAAGTGGACATTGATGTTCCAAATGTGGATGTTCAAGGTCCTGAATGGAATATGAAGATGCCAAAGATAAAAATGCCCAAGTTTGGAATGCCAGGCTTCAAGGCAGAGAGCCCAGAAGTGGAGGTGAATCTCCGGAAGGCTGACATTGATGTCTCAGGACCCACGGTGGATGTCAAAGTTCCGGATGTGAACGCTGAAGGACCTGAGGGAAAGCTGAAGGGTCCTAAGCTGAAGATGCCTGAGATGAACATCAAGGCCCCAAAGATCTCTGTGCCTGATGTGGATTTGCATATGAAAGGTCCCAAGGTAAAAGGAGAATATGATGTCACAATGCCAAAGCTGGAAGGAGACTTGAAAGGTCCCAAAGTAGATGTCAGTGCTCCAGACATTGATGTTCATGGTCCTGATTGGAACTTGAAAATGCCAAAGATTAAAATGCCCAAATTCAGCATGCCTAGTCTCAAAGGAGAAGGCCCAGAGTTGGATGTGAGGATGCCCAAGGCTGATGTGGACATCTCTGTACCAAAGCTAGATATTAGTGCTCCAGATTTGAACCTTGAGGGACCAGAAGGGAAATTGAAAGGCCCCAAATTTAAGATGCCTGAGATGCACTTCAAGGCTCCAAAGGTGTCTCTACCAGATGTGGACATGGAACTCAAAGGATCCAAAATGAAAGGAGATCTAGACATATCTGCGCCAAAAATAGAGGGAGAGATGAAAGTTCCAGATGTGGACATTAAAGGTCCACATATAGATATTAAAGCACCAAAAGTGGATGGACAGGGCCAAGACTGGAGCCTGAAGATGCCAAAGATGAAAATGCCCAAGTTCAGTATGCCTACTCTCAAAGGTGAGGGCCCAGATGTGGATGTGAGCCTGCCTAAGGCTACTATTGATGTCTCAGGACCTAAAGTTGATATTGAGGCCCCAGATGTGAACATCGAGGGACCAGAAGGGAAGCTGAAAGGCCCCAAGTTTAAGATGCCTGACATGCACTTCAAAGCCCCAAAGATTTCAATGCCAGATGTGGACTTAAACACGAAAGGCCCCAAAGTCAAAGGGGACATGGATATGACAGTACCTAAGATAGAAGGTGAAGTAAAAGTGCCAGATGTGGACATCAAAGGCCCCAAAATGGACATCAATGCTCCAGATGTGGATGTGCAGGGCCCAGACTGGCACCTGAAGATGCCCAAGATGAAAACGCCCAAGTTCAGTATGCCTGGCTTCAAAGCAGAGGGCCCAGAAGTGGATGTGAACCTGCCTAAGGCTGACATTGATGTGTCAGGACCCAAAGTTGATATTGAGGCCCCAGATGTGAGCATCGAGGGACCAGAAGGGAAGCTGAAGGGCCCAAAGTTTAAGATGCCTGACATGCACTTCAAAGCCCCCAAGATCTCCATGCCTGATGTGGACTTGAATATTAAGGGGCCCAAAGGAAAAGCAGATGTGGATGCATCATTGCCTGAGGTAGAGGGTGAAATAAAAGTGCCAGATGTGGACATTAAAGGGCCCAAAGTTGGCATTGATGCTCCAGATGTTGAGGTTCATGGCCCAGACTGGCAGCTTAAGATGCCTAAGATGAAAATGCCCAAGTTCAGTATGCCTGGCTTCAAAGGAGAGGGCCCAGAAGTAGATATCCCTAAGGCCAACATTGATGTTTCAGGACCCAAGGTAGACATTGATGTTCCAGATGTAAATATTGAAGGCCCAGATACAAAACTAAAAGGTCCAAAATTTAAGATGCCAGAAATGAACATAAAGCCTCAGAAGATATCCATGCCAGATGTCAGCTTGAATTTGAAAGGCCCTAAGGTAAAAGCAGAATATGATGCCTCAGTTCCAAAAGTGGGAGGAGAAATAAAAGCTCCTACTGTTGACATCAAAGGCCCCAAAGTAGAGGCACCAGATGTGGAAGTTCATGGCCCAGATTGGCACCTGAAGATGCCTAAGATAAAAATGCCCAAGTTCAGCATGCCTGGCTTCAAAGGAGAAGGTTCAGAAGTGGATGTGAATCTGCCCAAGGCTGACATTGATGTCTCAGGACCCAAGGTGGACATTGATGTCCCAGATGTGAATATTGAAGGTCCAGAAGGGAAACTAAAGGGTCCCAAGTTCAAGATGCCAAGCATGAATATACAGACACATAAAATATCTATGCCTGATGTTGGGCTTAATTTGAAAGGACCTAAGCTGAAAAGTAGTGCAGATGTTTCTCTTCCAAAAGTGGAGGGAGATTTGAAAGGTCCTAATGTTGATGTGGATGTTGGTGATATTGATATTGAATGTCCAGAAGGGAAGCTGAAGGGTCCCAAGTTCAAGATGCCTGACATGCACTTCAAGGCTCCTAAGATCTCCATGCCTGATGTAGATTTACACCTGAAAGGCCCCAAAGTCAAGGGGGACATGGATGTGGCAGTGCCCAAGATAGAAGGTGAAATGAAAGTGCCAGATGTGGACATCAAAGGCCCCAAAGTGGACATCAATGCTCCAGATGTGGATGTCCATGGTCCAGACTGGCACCTGAAGATGCCCAAGATGAAAATGCCTAAGTTCAGCATGCCTGGCTTCAAAGGAGAGGGCCCAGAAGTAGATGTGAACCTGCCTAAGGCTGACATTGATGTCTCAGGACCCAAGGTAGACATTGATGTTCCCGACTTGGATATTGAGGGTCCAGAAGGAAAACTGAAAGGCTCCAAATTTAAGATGCCCAAGTTGAATATCAAGGCTCCCAAGATCTCCATGCCTGATGTGGACTTGAATTTGAAGGGGCCCAAACTGAAAGGAGAGATAGATGCTTCTGTGCCAGAAATGGAAGCTGATCTCAGAGGTCCTCAGGTTGATGTCAAAGGGCCAAATGTGGATGTGAAAGTGCCTGATGTTGATCTGGAATGTCCTGATGCAAAGTTGAAAGGC